AAACACCCTGCGGTGCACGCATTCATGTGCCGCCACCAGGCTGACTTTGCAACTCAGGGAGGAACAGGACGCCCCAGCACCGGGCCAAAAGCGCTTTACAGAAAAGGCCTGTTCAAACTGCCGGGCCAAAAAGTTGAAACCTGAAAATAGTGTCACGGAATCAGAACGGACACCCGGCGGTCTTCCATATGAAGCCCCGGCTATCGCAGCTGTTGGGGCGACCAGTCGCAACCCCAAACCCTGCGTCTAAAGTGCAAGTGCAACAGAAACTTGCTACCGTCTCGAACCTGCCCACACCCTGCCCTACTTCACGGTTTGGGGCTGTGGCTGGCGGCCCACCGTTCCGCCAACCGTTGCCGATCAGCCGCCAATCTCGGGACCTTGTGCAGGAAGGTCATGCAATATTCCTCGGCTCAACACTACTGTTTGGGCTTTGGTGTTGCCGGTAAGACACGGCTCAGGGCACACGGCCTGCGCCCTAATGTAGCTTCAAACAAACAAAAGGCCCACCCCGTGTTTTTCCCACCCCTGGTTCAGGGTTTAGGGTTTCCACATGTAAATACCTCAAGCTCCTAGGTGCACTTTACCCAAACAAGCCAAGGTACAGGCCACGACCTCTTTTGCTTCCCCAACGTCCCAACGCTGCTTTCCTGAGTGCCGCGGGCTTCGGGGTGCCAAGCTTCGGTACACTTCTTCCGATTTCTGTGTCAGTTTCATTTTTGTGCTCGGCCCCTTTTTCGTCGCAAGGTTTGTGGCACTTGAAGCCGCAGCCGTGCCAGCCTGGTGGTCGGCTGCGGGAGTTGTAAGATGTAGATGCGGAGGGGGTGTTGGGGCATGCGCACCCTCAGGCTAGGTGTGTTTGTTTTGCTATGCAGCTGCTTCATTCAAGGCCTTTTCGGAGCGGTCTTGTTGCCGGTTCTGAGTCAGGTTCAGGGGTGAAGGCTTTAGAGGCGTAGAGTAGAGTTTAGAGGTTGGCGGTCTGGGGGTTTAGGGTTCCCGGGTGTCGAGTGTAGGGTTTGAGGGTGTAAAATTACATACTGCCTGTGTTCTATATACTGCCTATATTCTATACTATGTACTATACTCTCACCTTCTGTGTCTCGGTCTGCCATCACTTATACGGATAGCTAGATAGTGAACATCAAAACAGTCAGAGCCCGAACAGCACCATGAGGCCGCTAGAAGAGATAAGCGTCTGCAGGGACCAACTTGAGCACATTCTCTTGCGCACCTCTTCGCACGAGCGGCTCTGCTGAGGTTTGTCGGTGCTAATATATAGCACATTGTAGAAAACAATCATAATATACCTATATATATATATATACATATACATGTATATATATATATGTATAGATGTATTTTGTTTTCTATACACATGTAGCGAGAGAGTATAGCATATGAAGTATAAAAACAAGTCACTAAGACTCCGAAGGGCAACGCGGCCCTAGCACAACTACAAAACCTACTACCCTTTTTTAACCTACCACCCTTACTTGCATTACTACTATAACTGACACATGTGCTGCCTCTGTGACCTCTCGACTACCACTGCGAGTACTAGTTGGAGTTGTTTATGATCACCATACATCTCATTCAAATCCCATGTGGCAATCATTTCAACTTGACGAACAAATTTCTTTCCGATTCCTCCATGCAAAAAGCTTCCCAGCTTCAAAACTGCTACCAGAATTGATGCACGGAGCAATGCTTGGGTTCCTCATTGCCCATGCCTGGCCTGCAGCTCCAGTTATGCCTGAGTTCCACCGCGACGACATGCGACATGACGGCTTGAACAACTCCACGAACAATGACGACGACGTTGCCGATGCCGAAACCGACGGTTTACACTGCACCGACAAAGAGCAGAAGGACGACGACGACGACCACAACAGCAGCAACAACAAAAAGAACACTTCGTGATGCATGTCTGTTAGGCTTGCCTGGCATCGGAGCCAGAAGGCTTTCAAGAAACTAGCTGGGCACAGAGATCTGGAAAGCAAAACCCCCTGGAAAATCATCCCAATAGCCGCTAGCCTTGCCTTCTTCAAAACACTCGCAGTCGAAGCGGTGCTGCCACGCAGCTAGCACCCCAAAAGGTGCCGTCGCTCACCGTCTTCTGGTAGGTAGGCCAGGACTGCGCGGAGTTGCGCGCGAAACTTTGGGGTGGCGCTTGAAGCGCGGAGCTCGTTGAAGCTATCTTCGAAAGCTGCCACCACCCGTACGAAGTAGAGGTTCGGGTGTATGTAGCAACGCGAAGAGAGTAACATTGGAAATCAAGGCCGGCCCCTGTAGTACATGTTCACCTTGGGCGGCCAATCTGTTCCAAAGAACCTCTGGAATCCCTGATGCTTCCGGTACTGCCTCATTGCTATCATCAGCTTACTACTTTTCCGCATGGCTTCGACAGCGCGAGGCTTCTGAGCTTTGCACCTGTCGGGCTTCGGGTTGGGACTTGCTGGACGGTTCTGTCTGGCCATTCAGTCTATTTAATGGGAGGCTGGGAAAGTGGGTCAAAAAGACTGGCCTGGTCGTTGATGACCCCACCTGGCACGCACAAACCCTAGAACGAATACCTGTGCTTGCTGAACCTACAAAGCAATTCGACGATTCCCTTCTGGCTTACGAGGGTGTCCCACTGCAAGGAGGATGCCGCCAGGGCTCTCGTGCTCACTGGGACACCTCCCGCACTGAGCACGGCTTCATCGTACATGTACCATCCTGCACTTCTCAGCCGTCCTACTCGGACTCGGAGTTGCCAAAGGAAGCAGTTGCTAAGATTAGGAAGAGGGCTTTTGGGTCCAGGCCCGCGGTTGAAGACGAATTCACTTGGAGCGGCATTCCAACGGGGGGGCTGAGGCAGGGGCTGGCACGGATGTCGAACTGCGGCTGGCGAGTCTCAAGCACAAGAACAGACGGAGCCCCGCTTCTGGCTTTTTCGACGTACACAAAAACCATCAAAAGCCTCGAGGAAGGAAGCAACTCTGCGCCACTCTGTAGAACCTACCGTGCTGTGAAGGAGGAGATAGTTTCGCAGGTCTGACCTACGAGCCCTTCGTCAAGGGGAGGGCCAGGAGGCATGGAGGCTACCTAGCCTTGGGGGTTCGAAACAGCCTGGCACCAAAGCTGCAACTTCAAGTCTTTTCATATAACCCAGACTATATGTACGTAAACGCCGAAGGGGAAGCAGTAGATGCACTCGGCGCTTGAACCGGCTCCTTCGGTCTTGGTGTACGAGATGTCTGCCTCAGGCATTTCAGGGTTGCTCTGTTCAAGAAGGCAGCCAAAGGAGGAAGGCAAGGCTTCAGCCACCCTTTTTGAACCCAGACTCTGCTGGTCAGCTGGGAAATGCTGGGAAACAGCACTGCGTGATTTCACACAACCCTGCATCAAACGTACCCTAAACCCTAGGCCCTCAAACCCTAAACCCCAGTGTTTCGGTATCTCCATGGCTGGCAGCCAGTCTTGCGCTGGGTTGCTATCAGCTGCCGTTCTTGCTATCATTATCCTTCCCGTTGCTCGGAAGATTGCTGCTATCTTTTTCAACTCCTGGCCTCCAAGCCGCAGAACTCTTCTGGTGTCATTTCGATTGCAGCCGAATGCTCCAAGATCTTGCTGTTGACTCAGAAACCCTAAACCCTAAACAATCCTAAACCCTAAACCCTAAACAACCCTAAACAACCCAAACAACCCAAACAACCCTAAACCCTAAGTTTGAGGCCAGCAGCATATTGCCAGTAGGTCGTGGCCGGAACCCCCAGGTCCTGGAGTGCCCGAAGGGTTTCGGGCCTTCAGACTTGGGAGGTTACCAAACTGTCGTATATTATAGTATATTATAGTATATTATCGTATATTATAGTACATTCTAGCATTGTGTAGCATCTTATAACAATCCTGTAGTATATTACTATGGTACATGGCGGTTTTTTCGTACTGTGGGGTTACGCCGTCGCAACTCGGACTCAGCCAGAGGGCTGGCAGAGGCTACTGAAGGGCACAACACGGCGAGTGTCTGATTTGAACAAGGACTCGCTGAGAACGTATCGGACAATTTCAGACCCAATGAAAAAATAAAAGCACTGACAACACTCCCCAAGTCTTCACTATCAGGCTGATAGGTGCGCAGAACAATCCAAGCCGGCACTACTAGCCCTAACGTGCGACCGAAAGGTCGTCCCGGTCAGCATTTTCTCGCCACATTCACGCGATGGTCTTAGTTGTCGTGTGAACGACAGCGTGCAAGGCACACCGGACAGCTCATCTCCTGCTATTTGCTACGTTCGCAAGCTAGCCGCTCCGACTGGCAGCATTCTGCAACCAAGCCCTGCCGCTGCTTCAAATGATGTCGAACACCGCTCGCACCGTCGTGGCGGCTACTTCCCTTGCCAGAAGAAGCGCTGAGCTTGCGTGAGAGACTGCAGGAACATGGAGTTCTCATCTGGAAAAGAAAGACCCCCAAGAAGCTATGCTCCGTGTGCAATCCCGGCATCGAGCCGAGGGAATTGCTTTGCTGAGAAAACTGAACAAGTCATTGTGAAAATAGAGGGCTGCTATGCCATAGCGGCTATGCCTGAGACGGTGATGCAGCTCGGAAAGCTGTCGCAGAAAATCCACGGGCTGAGACTTATGTGCTACAGCAAACTACACTCACTTATTGCACCCAATGCGCGCAGCTGCAGAAAATCAGGCACGTATGCCTAGGGCTAAGGATATCAGTTTGCGGAGGCATCTTGCTCATCCACATCAAGGCACGTCCCAGTGCTTTTGACATCGTGTTGCCTTCTTGCTCCTATCGCGCCGAGACACACGTCTGGCAGGATGGCATGCTGCTAGATACATGGAAAAGATCCTACGGAGAATTCCTATGTCAGCTGGGAGGCCTCAAAACTTGCAGAATTCTAGATAAGGAAGAGATAGACAATTCCGGCGCTCACATCTGCGGCTTCGTCAAGCCTCTGTGCGGCAGCCCCAGCCTCATGGTTTCTCAGGTCCCCAAGCCTTTCTTATTTGGCTCCCAACTCGGCAGCTCGGGGAAGAGGTGGGAAAGAGATCAGCACTACCAGGCAGACGACCGCAAAAGCAGGCATAAGCGGAGCAGCGGCGACGGCCACAAGCAGTGTCACCCAATCTGGAACAGGCTTGGGCAGCGGAGCGCCTGTCACGCAGTCAACGGTAGTGCCAACGAGTTGATCCATTCCGGGGCAGCAAACGTTGTAGTTGCCGTGGGAACCAGTGGCTCTGTGGTGCCCTTCGTGATTCGTGCGCAAGTAGTTGAACACTGCGGAGTCGCGCAAGCCGGCGAGGACCCAGCTTGGTGCACCAACCTCCATCGGCACATCTTCCAGGCCATGCATGTTCGGGTGAAGAGCGTTCCAAACCAAGGCGTGGAGCATCATCGCGGTCATCACCACAGGCACAATGACGAAGCCGGACCAGCCCAGCAAGGTCAGGGTTGGGTAGGCAAGGAGCATGACACCAGCGCTCATCTTCGCGAAACCATCCCATGGGAAGCAAGTACCTCTCCAGGGGTCCATGTCCAAGATTGGGTCGCGTCCAGGTTCAACAGTAAGGCTCATATCTTCCTCGACTGTCTCCCGATGATGCTCCACATGGCCGTCGCCGCGGAATGTGGACAAGCTGAGGGTGGATCGGACAGCCCGCACGGCGTCGACCTTGTTCAGTCCCAAATGCTGGAAGTAGCGATGGTACACATATTCGCAAAAGGACATGATGACGTACAGCGCGGCCAGTCCGGCCACAGCTTGACCGGCAATAGCCAAAGGCCCCATGCTCTCCAGCAAAGAGCTGGTCGTAGCCACCTCCTCGACGCCAACTGGCAGGGCCGGCCGGCTGGGCAAATCTTGCAGTGGGCGCGCTGCTCCTGGCACCGATGACCGTGTCGTCTGCTGAAGGCTCATGCTTGCAGCGCGTCCAAGACCGGTGAAAGCGAAGCCAGGAAGTGATTTGGCGGTGACATAGGCCGCCACTCCAGCACCGAGGACGAGGACGACCCGCGAAGAGTTCCTCCTGCTGCGAGCCATGGCCGAGGAGTGGTAGAGGGGCTGAGCTGTTGGACTGCTGTCGGGCAAAAATGCTTGAGCCGTAGCCATTTGGATTTGGGTTCTTGAGTTTAGCTCTCCGGCTGTGTGCCCTGCTGCGTTCTTACCACGTCTGCATGAGCGTTTCCGAACCTCCGGCAAAGAGGCGACTATGCCGCGTCGATTCCGGAAATTCAAAGATGATGCGCACACTCCCTGGAACAGGTCCGTGGCGACGGCCAGCTGGTCTGCCAGACCTTGCGCCGAATCCTGGCAAGGTAGGTTTGGCTTACTGTAGACTAGTCGGCTTTGTGCTGAACGCCTCAAGTCGATGCTTTGCCTTTGAGTTCAAGTTTCGGCAGTGAAGTTACGGCTCGTGTCATGATGCAAACAGGGAGTCACACTACTGACTGAACCGTTGTCGACCCTCCAGGCTACCGACGCCAACTGCCACTGCCCAAAACACGCCTGGCCTCCCAGTACTCGCTGAGCCAAACTGGCACACCACCAAGCTTCCTTACCGCAAACAACGGTTTAGGGTTTTGGGTTTAGGGTTTAGGGTTTAGGGTTTAGGACCGGTCCTCCCCACCCCTGTTTGCAGCACCTCTGCGCACATCGGGGGCATGAGACGAAGCGGAGCACAGAAGCTTCAAGAGGTGATCTATGATGCTCCCTTTGACATGCACACGGGGAACCCCTATACAAATCCTTTGGCTATGGCCCCTGGCAGCCGTGGCACTCTTACGCCAACCCTCACAACCAGTTTTCGTGGCTTACCCGGAAGGAGGAAGGTCAGCGGCAGCTAGACTTTCTGACTGGAACGATGCCGCCAAGGTGCTGGGCGTTCGCCTTGGCAAGCTCTACCATCTTTTCCCAGCTCACCTCGGCCAGGTTCTTTGGAAGTGCTTCGCTTTCCTGTAAGGTGTGTGATGCGGTGGTTGTTTTGCAGAGTTGTTTTGGCTCACGAAGTTGAGGAAACTGCTGCAGGCATGTCCGTTCTTACTTCGTTTCATCCATGCTTGCTCCACTATCTATTTGTCCACCTCCGGACCACTCAATATCGTGTCTACAGCTCCACCCATCTGTCTCACCTATCTAGCCGGCCAGCTGTGTACCGTTCTGTGTTCTGTCCACCTGCCCGCCGTGACTCTGTCACTAGACATCTGGCCTAGCAGCTGCAAAGTTCGGAGGCAGAACCAAACCAGGACCCCAAGAGAGCACAGATCGGGGGCACAGCACAGCATGCCTCAACAGTCGCAAGCGCTTTAGGTTCTAGGGGTCCCATCGGTTCCTCTTGCTTGAAACGTGCAATGTAACTTGCATGGTCTGAGCTCCTGAGCACAAAACCATACCACATGCCGGCTAGGGATGCAGATGCGCACCTTCATACAATAGGCATCGCGGCACGATCGAGACACAGACAGCGAGAGAGAGAAAGAGAGACAGAGAGAGTTGGACACGGAGATAGAGACAAAGACAGAGCGAGACAGACAAACAGGGCACCTTCCACGGCATGTGAGGTTGAAAGTGCATTATATGGGAGCAAAACAACGAAAGGCGGTGGCACAATCGAAGTCCCGGCACCAGACCATGTGGGTAGCTACGCCTGAACCCACCATCTCATGGCTATCTCCTTGCCTCGAAGTGGCTGTGCTGGGAGGAGAATAGTAATGGAAGGACAGGATCAAGCGGTTTCCTCGTCTAAGGCTGCACATCACGTCTACATCGTCTACGATTCCTGGTGGCTTCTATTCGGCGTGATATGAGCCCAATCTCAGACACTGACTGCAGAAGCCAAGCAGGTATAACCATAAGTACTAATTTCTACAAATTGCACCATGACACGAAAGCCGAGCCGCTCTCGATGTCCTCTCAATTCCGAAATTGAAACCCTGCAAGCCTACAACTGAATGTTAGAGTCTGGAGCTTGTTGGCTCTACTCGTTGTAGAAGAATGGGAAGTTCTATGTCTTCCTTACATCATGCACCGGAGGACAAGACACGGGACTCCAAGCTTGCGAGGGCGTCGGCATTGCACTCAGAAGCTGCACAGCAGGGCTTAACAGACAGGCCTTGATGTCTTGCGGTCGTCAAAGTCTCCATACCCGACACGAGGACGCCCCCCTGAAACCTCACCTCACCTGGTTCCGCGAAAGCGTCGACTGGCATAGGACTGGAATTGCTTCATGGCCGCACTGGGTGTGCCTGACCAGGGTTCTGCCGTCATCCGGACGACGAGCACAAGGGCCAATAAACGACTGAGGGGCGACTACAGTAGCGGCTTTGGCAGACCAGGGACCAAAATCCTGAGATCCTTGGGTTTTGACAGTGGTTGAATGGCAAAAAACACCACGTTTCGAGCCCTTGCCTGCGCAGGCTAAGCAGGAGATGGCGCAGCTTTCGCCTCGGGAGAATGCTTTAGGCTTTGGTTGCTGTCATCATGCACACCTTCCGTTTTTGCTGTTATTGCGACTGCTTCTCCTCTTGTCATGACTATGATACCGATGCTGGTCATCACCTACAGGGGATCATGTGCTTCGTGAAGTTGGAGCTGCCACTGGCGTTAGCATTACCGCTGTGATTAGCCGGTATCTCTCAGCTCCCGGGATTCTGCATTTCAAACTTCATCGTCATCAATCGCCCCAAGCCTGTGGGTTTGCGGACAGGGGTCCCAAGACTTCCATAAAGCCCGTAAGCCTGAAGCCCCACAGAGCCTATCAGAGAGCCCTAGAGGCAGCGTCAAGGCGCCAGGGAGGGTGCTGCTGAAGTTGTCGATGGCGATGGGGGTCTTGATGCGGGGATCCTGGTCAAGTTCCTGGGGCGGTGGCATCGCGAGAAAGGTCTGATAGTCTTATGGGCTTGTGGGGTGGGTTTCGCCCTTCGCAACTCGCAAAATGCAGGCAAGGAGTCACGAAAATCTTGAGGCAGACACGAGGGTATAGCAACGAGTGATCGGTGGTCAGTGTGCTTGTTGCCACCTACTTCGCAAGGACAAGCCCGCATTGCAAGGTTGACAAGTCGGCGAATGCTGCAAGATCCCAACCCTTTCGGTAGGGAGGCTCCAAAAGAAAAAGGTACCAGAATCTCGCGGTTAGGGTTTAGGGTTTAAGGTTTAGGGAAAGTTTAGGGGGGTTTGGGTAAATGGTCGTGGGTCTTCGGTTGGAGCTCCGAATTCTATCGAATGTCGGATGGCCAGCCTGCGTTCCTGATCCTTCAACCCAAGAACATGGAAACGGACCACAGGAGATCAGGCAAACAAAAAGGAAAGCCGAGCTTCGGCAAGGACGTGGCCATAAAATCCGAGGACTTGTCTCCAGACTGTCAGCGTGTTGCATATATTTGGCAATCCACCTTCATGGGATGGGCAGACTGGCGCTGAGCTACAAAACCGCCTGCGCAACGAGAAAATTACAAAGCCGGTCCAACATATACTTCATCATCTTGGCCGCCGACATTTCCGAGCAACACTGTATTTTCTTCTGTGGCGTGGATCTACTATTGACGATCTTCAGTATCTTCAGATGTCCGAGATCAGTTTCTTCAATATTCTGCACGTTTCGGGCTCAATGTTTTGATCCGGCTCGCGTTTCTGCAGTATTGACTCGGCTCAAGCTTGGCGATGGCCCTAAACCCGAAACGCTGAAACCCTAGACTCCCTAAACTGACTCTACACACTTTTCAGCGGACTAAGGTACCGGCCGCGCCCCGCCCCTGAACCCTCAGCACTAAAACCTTAAAGCCGTAAAACCCCCAGAAGCCTCAAACCCTAAAAACCCTGTGTATTACACAAGCTTGATTAGCGCTCGCCGGCCAGGTTCCCCGCAGCACACTAAAGCCTTCTTTGCTAAACCCTAAACCCTCTCTCTCTCTCACACCCTAAACCCTGAAACCCTACACCCTTAAACCCTAAACCCTAAACCCTTAAACCCTAAATCCAACTTCCATTTCGACCCTCCGTTCGTGGCATGTCGACTCAGGCTGAGCCCACGACCCAGAGGCGGCTCGTTCCTTCGTGCGCTGAGACGATCGGTTTGTAGGGGCTGTCAAAGGTGTACGAGTGGTTCATTAGGGTTGTGAAGAGGCTTTGTAGGGGTTCGATAAGGTATGAGAAAAGCTTATGGGGGTGTTGTACTTCGATTTTTCTGAAGCCTTTTTGCGGCTCTGCTAGAGGTTTCAGGCTTCTTCAGGGATGTAACAACGGAATTAAGGGAACCCTGAATCCTAGAGTTTTGGGCTAAAGGGTGCTAAGGGTTTTTTATGAGCAGCCAGGGTCTTTGGGAGGCTGGACTCTCAGAAGTGGATAACTGCCAGAGACTCTAGGGGTTGGGGTACGGGGTTTGGAGATTAGCATGTCTGGTTTCGGTGCAGCGTAAGCTATCTCAGACTTCTTTTTGCCAGCAGGTCCGCATAGGCCAGTAGTCAGTGCAGCAAACAAACACTGCTTGACTGCGCAAACTCTGCGATTCTCTGTCAGGAAGTGTGTACAGGACGTATGCCGTAGATGTATGCACCAGTAATCTACTTGCTGTGCAGATCTAGATGCCATCCTTGGGGCGAGCTGTCCTACATGTGTATGAACCGATACACACTGCGACCAACGAACCAATAGACACAAAGAACAACAATGCAAATTACAATGACAACCATGAAAAACAATAACAACCATAAAACTGGTAACAAGTAGAGATAATCACTGCTAAGTACTGCTAAGATCAATATTAGTAATGCTACGTAATAATTAAGTCGTTAATGGTAACGATGATGAGATCATAAAAGCACTAGCTACAGTGATGACAAGAATAAGCTTCCTTTCTTGACACCGCTCGACAAAGGCGTGCCAAGATGCATCAGCTCCACTGCGATGACGTTCTCGTACCTGCAAGATATGAATCTGTTCACGGAGCTTGAGTGCGGACTTACATGCCAGGAACAAAAAATGGGAAGACGAGTTGACTGGAAGCTTGTAAAATCGTTCTATGCTTGATTCCTCAACAAACAATCTTGCCTGAGTAAGTGTGCGGGGGACTCTCGCGTATGCTATGTAACATTGCAAGAGCAGCTGGACAGTTTGTGGAGTTGGAGCAGCATCAGGAGTCGTACCGTGATGTTTCCATTGTGTCTGCGCAATCTACTGTAGCAGCCGCAGTCGTGCTCGCACTCGCCCCAGCACCATCAGCAAAGAAAATACCAGCATCACCAGGATCATGATCGTTGAAAAACCTCTTCATCAACATCAACAGCAGCTGCTTAAGTCGGCAGCGGCCGAAGGCCAGTGTGCAAAGGCACGGAAGCTTCTAGCCAAGCGATGGCCTAAGACTCTGTAACTAATCCTAAAGTTCGTGCACCCTATGTCATGAGGCCCTTCATGCCCAACACAGTGTGCATGTAGCCACGAGCACTCGATCTACCAACCTTGCTTCAAGCCTTCCCGAAACTCGAAACTCCATACCTTATGTCTTCAGCGAAGTAGCTTGTCCCACACGCCACAGAGATGTCGCACAAGCTTCATATAGGGCTCAAAATACAAAGCCCTGTCGGCACTGTTCTCCGGAGCGGCATAGATCCTGGACAGATGGACCGTGCCCATACTCAGGTTTTTCGTTATCGCTGCCAAGTACAGGGATGGCGATTGTGATGACTGGAACTGTCATGGCCGTGATGCCTGCAACGGACTGTAACGGCTGAAGAAGACGCTCGTGACGGTGCTGATGGCAAATATCCTCCCGTACCTTCTGGCCTTTGCATACTCCCATGCCTTTCCTCGGCATGGTGTTCTGCAGCTGCGCAGTGGTTACGATCGTGCTCCAGGTGCTGTCGGAGTTGTTTTGACGCATGCTCGCCTCGGTGTACGACGTTTCGTCACTGTCTACTTACTGTGTGGTCGCTAACGAGCTCACCCATGCACACACCATCTAACTGTACCAAGCTCTACTAACCGTAACCATCATCGGTGGCATCTGTCCGCCCATCTGACGCCAGCTTATCTTTCGATCTGCCCATCTCACTCTGCAATGCTTGCGGGCTTCATGCAAGCATTCCCTTCTGCCGAAGTACATGGCTAATTCTCCTACTAAATGCCGAAAGTGCTTTGCACGACAAGCGTCTGTGCTCTCGATTGCTCCTTATGCTGCCGATATGGGCCGGGCCAAGCCAAGCCATGCCAGACCGACCCCAGCAAGCACACAGGTGACTGGTTACTGGACCCTGAAACTGAAGCCTTCGCACAAGTGCACCCCATCCAAAGCTCAACTCCAAGTAGCATTGCCGGCATTCATGAAATCCGGATTCGCACCCTTGTCCTCGACGGAGAACGGGAGCCACGGATCCTTTTCTGAGGATTGGCGCTTAGTAACGGATGTGGACGATTCCCGATGCACTTTGGGACGAGTGTCAAAGGTTTAGGGCGGGGCTTTGGACTGCTGACTTCCCGACGTTAAGAAGCACATGCCGCATACTTGCCGCATGCAGTATAGGTTCACCTAACAGCTCGGGCACGACCAGTTCGGAGACTGACCAGACAGCTTATCCTGGAACTCATCGACTGAAGCTTGGAGGGTCTATGGCTGTGCCACCACAGAGTGAGGTGAGGCTCCGAATCCCCGTCGTAGGTGGTGATGTCCAGATTTATGCACTTGGCAATGCAGTTCGGAAGGCAAAAAAAAGGCCGAAGAGGATGAGACGGCGTGGCGATGTAGGATGTCCGACAGCTCTCTGGGCAGCAGGACCTGACCAGATAGTGTCTACGGCGTGTAAGGTTTAGGGCAGTTTAGATACGGAGATGCCGTGCGTGATCATTTGCACCAAGTGGCCAGCAGCTACCAGAGAAGCAGCAACAGCAGCAGCATTGCTCCAGGAAGCAGCCGGCACGTTCTTGGAAGCCAGCCGTCACCCACCAAGGGAGACCCTCCTTTCGAAGAAGTAGCTCCAGATCAGGGAACTTCCAGAACAAACCCCCAGCCCATCTGATGGAGCTGTCTAGCTTAGGGCTGCCATTTCTCATGCAGTACATGGTGCATGTCTTGAATCTGGATTTGTCGGTTTGGGCGCAGCGTTCCGATGTTCCATATGATGACCAGAGTAAGGCCGTTGAAGGAGCCGAGGGTCACCACCGTTCGTGGTGCAGCCAGCATCCTGGTGCAGGTCCAAGAAGACGTAGACACCTTGGTTGCTCTGAAGGAACAACAATGGAAGTACAGCTGCTGGCTAGACAGGGTTAGCCAGCAATGAATTGAAACGACCAGAAAGCCGACAGAACAAGCACGCCTAGGCCTGTGCTGAGACCAACCACAGAGCCGGGTCCCAAAGTTCTGAGGGGGGAGTCGGAAAGGGTTAAAAGGCCCTAAACCCGAAAGCAACACCCTATGAAGAGAGGGCAGTAAAGCACCTGACCTGCGCTGGCGAAGGCTTTGATTGTCGCATCGAGCTTTGCAGCATATGCGGGGTCCTTGGGCAAAAAGCGACAAATGTCGAGTAGCAGGCATCAAACCATGATCTCCGACTTTTAAAATCCAGCTCAAAGCTAAGCCGCGATCTCCTCGCCATTCGAGGGATAGGCCGCGGCCATCATAACGCCCAGCCGGACACAGGGCACTACCTTGTGGATCGTCTAGCTTCGCAAAAGGTCGGAAGGTACTGCGATCCACGAAACCCTTCCACATGCTTGAGTTCTGGTGTCGGGATTGAGGCGACTAGGCCTTCAAAAGGATGCTCCCGATGCAAGCCACCGAGGCAAACTGTAGACCAAGCCACTAGATGGTAAATCTAAGGCCCCAGCACCCTCAAGTGTTATGCGAAATCAGTCAAAGGTTGCAGGGCGAGGGGAGCCGTCCGCGGCTGGCGGCGGCTTGTAGGCCATCCTCTATCGGCAAGACTTTGCGAGTCTAGCGGCGGAGGGAATCAGATACAGGCGCAGAATAGGGTTTTGGTGTATCTTCTGGTACAATATAAGACTCAGGCCCATCCATTGGCATTACGGGGTTGCTGCGTCTGGTCTTCCAGTTGTTGCCTCGGGCTTGTGGCTACTTGTCTCTGGTCGTCTGGCTTGGGCTTCAGCGGCTCTAGGAGAAACGGACCAGCTGATTGCTTTTGACACCCATTCTGGATCAGGTCTCTGGTTCTAGTTCCAGTTTTGCTACTATTCGGTTCTCCTGTTCCTCCTCTGGTTACCGGCATCTCCATTTTATGCAAACTTGGAACAAGTCCTATGTAATGATTCGAGATGGAAGATAGCCATGAGGATACTGACCGGAACAAGAAATAGCCCCTGCAATCTTTGTCTTGTAGCAACAGACAAACAAGTTAGCAACGACGAGCCGCTGATGCTTGGCAATACTGACAACAGAACCAGTAACACATCGCAGCGTGAAGATACGAGCACAGCAATTCTCTGAATGCCCAAGGTCTCTTGTCACTTCTGGCATCATGGTGGGACCATGGGCATGAAGAGTGGCTTAACTAGTCAAGCTTTCTGCGTGCTCACATACGCAGTGGTTTTTAGTGCAGCGCTGGCATTAAACTGGGCATGTGCCAAGGATCTGTCTGGCCCCTTCCACCATGGACTTTGCATCTGCTTCCACTACCTGCAATTCAGGGCTTAGGTCTGCTTCTGTGCGGCCTTGCGTGTTCTGTGCGTGCTAGATTTGGCACCAATTCGAAAGACTAATTCCGCAATCATGTTGCTACAAAACAGGTATTTCCAAGGTGGTTCCTTAAATCTTATTGCGATGTGGCTTCAGGGAGGAATGCTGAATGCATAGGGAGCTTCGGAAGACCTGTACTGCTGTTTTTATACCATTGGTAGAGCAGCGGGGTCGAGGGTTTTGGTGGGGAGTTAGCTTTGGTATAGGCCCCTGCAGTAATGGCCCTCGAATAAGAAGCCTTAGTGCCAACCATCCTGTGGAGAAGGTGAAACCAAAATCCGTCGATTCGCTGAAGGTCTCTGGGAGATCATGTCACCGAAAGTTCAGATGCCGATGGGCGTTCCAAGGCTATGATGGGATCCCAGGGAGTTCCGCTGCGGTGTGGTCTTGACCCCGATGCCATCTAAAGCTTCAAGGTCGTGGTCGTTGCAGTGCGAGACATGTTGCTGTTGTTGAGGTTCATGCCATACTCTACTGCAAATTTTCCACGGAAGCCCGGATGTCGTGAGGCTGCAGTACGGTCCGGGCGAGGGGTAGGGTGTCCACGGCATACTCTGGGTCGGCAACCGGCAACCGAGTACAGGGAAGACCGGCATTGCGTCTGTACTCTTCTTTCTAGCAGAATTACCACAAAGATACTCAACCCTAAACCCTAAACCCGAAACCCTAAACCCCTACGTAAACCCTAAACCCTAAACCCTAAGAATAACCAAAAGGTGGGGGCTTGGCGCGCTTGCCCGACCCCCTGCGGACTGGTCCTGGAAACGCCTCTCTGTTAGACATGGAGGCAACAGAGGCCAGCATAAGATCGGACAACCTAAAGCGTTTTAGGGCCTGCAGCATATGGGTGTTTCAACTGAGGAATCTGAGTGTGCGTGACTAGCCAGCACGCCCACCAGTCGCTTCGGACCGACTCCGGATCACCGAACAAGGCGTGTGCAGCAATGCTCTACGGAGAAAAATCTTTCCCAGCTCCGGCCTGCAGCGGTGGGAACCACGGCTGAGTCTTGAAAACATAGTTTCCACCGAGCCTGGGCGGAGATCGGCAGCTCGTAAGTCAGGTAAGGTTCACCTCATCCTTTCTCCTGCTCGCGCCTCCGGCAACCCGAGATGAAAACAGCCTCTGCACCCGGTTAACGCTCGCAGGAACTCATCGCTAGACTCGGAAGCACTTCGAACTTGACACTCTGCCATCCCCGAAGTTACAAGAAAACACCTCCCTTGAATGCACACAGATCCTATTTGGGATGAGTAGACCATCCCGGGGCGGAGAACAGGCACAAACATGCGCGTTCATTTTCAACACAGCCCTTGGGAGAACACGACCAGTTACAAGAATGACTACTACAACCACCAATGGGGGCATCACCCTTTTTCAACAGGCTTTCCACTTCGCCCGGAGTTGGAGCAAGCAGCCCTAGCAAACCCTGAACCCTAGACCCTACGACCTGAAGCCTAACAACCACCCCATCCTCGCACCCCGCATACCAGAGACTTCCGAGCCCAGTGACAGGACAATCTCCGTCCCGTCGAGTTTGAATACCTCCGGGCAGACCGGGCTCCATAGTACAGTATACAGTCATACATTGCGTGAAATATGTCATCTATGCGATATACTATTGTATTATTCTGCCCTTTGGATTCTTCAACTTGCGATCGCAGCCATCTTGCACACCGATCTCCCTGAACTACTTCACCCCTCTCGCAAACCAGGGAGACGCCTCGCCCTCAATGGCGACGCGGCCCTTCCGCAGCGGCGTGTCTTCAGCCATGGCACGGGAACCGAAGTCAAGAGATCCTTTTTTTGAGCAGGGACTGCAATGCACTAAGCCCTGAATCCCTAAGAGATCCTACTTCCCAGATTTTAGCGGCGAGATCCAAAATGCAGAAGATTTCTTCCTAGCAGAAGGACAACTCGAAGCCTGGGCTCGATGCGAACAAAACCCCTGCAGCAGGCAGAAGGCATGAATCCATTCGAAGTGATCTTAGGGCTGTTTTTGCTGCCTCCCACCTTGCTAGGACTGGCCCTTAGGGCTTAGGGTTTAGGGTTTAAGGGTCTCATCGAACCAGCAACACCATACCATGGCGCAAGCCCTACTGGCCTGGACATGCGTAGTTCCCTAAATGAGGGTTTCGTTTAGGGTTCTCTTCATAAGGGTGCCGTACTTTTTTGGGTGACGAAATCCAGAGAACTACACGCGCGCAGAATGGCAGCTTCTTTCTGTCAAACATCACACTGGACGCTTTTGGCTTCAGCCCGCTGCATCGCAGAAACCGCTACGAAGACTTGTTGCAGCAGGAGCATCCAATCGTACAAGCATGGCATATAGCATAACATAAGATCATGCAACATAAGACAAGATACAGTAAGATAATATCAAGAATATGAGATGACATGACCCTAGATTCCTAGATGGTCACCATATGGTCTCAGGCTTCGGAGGCTGCGAGCAGGGACAGTGAGGAGCGTGCCAGCTAAGGGCCAGGGAGCAGACAGGGGTTTTAGGGTTTAGGGTTTACGTTGGGATTTCCTTCCCACTTAATTAGCAAGGGTCTAGGGCTGTTTTAGGGTTTTTTTTGGTTTGGGGTGTAGGGCGGCCTCCCTGCTTAAATCATAACTCCTCAGCTTCCCGAATTCGGAATGCACTAAAAAACAACCAGCGGCCCCGGCGCGCGCTGAGGCAGAGGAGCACAAAGCCCGGATGCAACTTGTACAGCAGCCAGGGTTTCGGCACACATCTCTTCTGAGGCAGTGTCCGTGCGCGTTTTAGAATTCAAGTATGCATGTGTATGTAGATATGCGTGGTATACACATACATACATGCAAGAATACATACATACAGACATACATGCATGCAAGCATGTATGCATACATACATACATGCATATGAATATATGGATACACATGAATGCAGGAGTGCATAAATGAACGAATGGATGAACGAATGAATTAATTAAATAGTTAATGAATGCATCCATGAATAAACGAATGAATTGATGAACGAATGAATGAACGAGCAAACGAATGAGTGAACGAGGGATGAGTGAATGAGTGAAGGAGTCATTCATGGGGAATGGTGAATGAGTGAATGAAAGAAGGAACGAAGGAATGGATGAGCGAATGAAAGTACAGTGAACGAAAGAATGAAGGAATGATGGAGGGAAGGAGCTAAACATCTTTTCAGATAAGGAAGCTTCCACCCGTTCGAGTTAGTATCGATGTACCCTACCCCAAAAGCCGGCGACGCCTCAAACTAAAGAAGCACGAGAAACCCTGTCAGAACTACCAAGCTGCAAGATGGTGTTTCGTGGGCATCTGGCTTCTGATATTTTGTTTGAGACACCAGGCCAGGACACCTCACTCCTTCTCGCACCCCGGCAGGTACGAGGACATCTACTGCTTACAACAGAAGTATCTGCTCAGCGTCGTCTGCCGAGCTGGAGATGCCTTGTTTTCAGATTCAAGTACAAAAACTTAGAGCTCTTAAGCTCTTGCTGGGCTAGAGCAGAAGGCAGAGATCAGCGGGAACATCTGCAGATTAGCCTGCATCGGGCCCGAAAGAACATCTCATCACCGAGAAACTGGAAGTGATGAATGTTAAGAACCGTGGTGCTGAGGTTGCAGTAGATGGTCAAACCCCTCCATCCAAAGCTTGGCACACGATCTAGCGTAGATTCACACGCTGCATCCATCCCAACTCCGCCGCCGTAGCCTCGACTAACGCTTCAAAACCTCGAGCTCGTCGCGCGATCATCAAAGGCGAATGGCTCTACCGATTCCAAACATAACAACCACGGGCTACGCAACTGAAGCCCGCGATGTTGCCGAATCGATGCAATGATCCCTAAACACCTACCGTCAAGTCCCCAAGCCCAGCAGCCTCCTCAAGGGAGCACTTCCTTTTTGCCGTCCGTCGGCCTTTGCGGTTCAAAGTTTCATACGCCCAGTCATTCAAGCTTCCCATGATGTATCTGGTGCATCGTAGTAATCTCGGGTTTCGGGTTTTGGGCTGATGGTTTGACAAAATCAAGGCACGACTACTGGGCTGCTGCGGATGTTTCAGTGTTGTCCGGCCGACTCAGGGGCAGTCTTGGATTCTGCGGGCTCTGGCGTGCCAGCACAAAGACTTAACCACCGTTCCTGTGGTGCTGACTGCGTGACCCCACAACCTTAACCCCACACCTTCGGTTTTTGCGTTGAGGAGGGCACATGGTAC